TCCTCACCAACAGAAGAAAACTGGAAAAATTACACCAAAACCAAGAACCGTCTAACCAAAGACTTACGGAAAGCTGAGGCAGAATACTTCTCTGCCATCAGTGAAAGGTTGAAATCTGCTGATGGTTCTAGACTCTTTTGGTCTGTTCTCAAACAAGCAACCGGGAAGGGCAAGTCGGGGATCCCAGCTCTCTCCGTCAACGGTGCAACAGTTGGAAAGGATAAAGACAAAGCTGAAGTACTTAACAACATTTTTGTCAAAGTAACCAAAGCTGAACATCCAGATTGCATCCGAAGGCTCCCCATGTTCACCAACGAAGAACTAACTTCAATTCAGGTATCAGAAGAGGAAGTCCTGGGTGTCCTGAAAGAACTGCCTCCCAACAAGGCCCCAGGTCCTGATGGCATATCTAACCGGCTCCTTAAGGAAGCGGCACCTGTCATCTGCACATCCTTATGTGAGCTCTTCAACCACTCTCTTGCCACGGGTAAGCTTCCAGGGGAATGGAAGCAATGCAATGTGACACCAGTATACAAGAAGGGGGATCGAACTGACCCGTCTAACTATAGACCCATCGCCCTCCTCCCAACTGTCGCCAAGGTTCTGGAGCGACTCGTGCATAACCATCTCTATACTTACCTTATGGATAATACTCTGATGAATCCAAATCAATCTGGATTCAAGAAGGAGGATGGGACGGTCCTGCAGCTCCTACGTCTTGCTGACGACTGGGCCAAGTCGATGGATGATCCCAACTCAGCATGCACAGCCGCTGTGTTCTTAGACGTACGTCGTGCGTTCGACACAGTCTGGCACGACGGACTAGTTTAAAACTTTCACGTTACGGAGTAAAAGGCACTCTCAACATGTGGTTTGCCGACTACCTGACTGGTCGCCAGCAACGAGTTGTAATCAACGGCGTAGCCTCAACTTGGGGCTTCACTCAAGCTGGGGTACCCCAAGGAAGCATATTGGGTCCTCTTTTGTTTTTGATATTCATGAACGATATCCATGACCTTCCTTGTACTTCTAGCATCAACTGCTTCGCCGACGATACTTCACTCTCGAAATCAGGACGTACTGCCCTCGAGGTAGCCAACACAACAAATGCTGACCTGGAGATGGTGTCAACCTGGTTCAGCGATTGGAGTCTTCAGTTGCACCCTGACAAATGCAAGGTTATTTGCATTAAGTCTCCGCAAAGTAAAGTTCTCCTACCCCCCATTTACATCATGGAACAGATCGTTGAACAGGTTCCCTTTTATACGCACCTGGGCGTTACCGTGCATCAGACCCTTCGTTGGACAGAGCATGCTCAACTCACCTCCAACAAGGCCAGGAGAACACTGTGACTACTGTGGAAGCTCCGTGGCAAACTCTCCCAAGAAGCCCTGGAACGAGCTTATTTCATGCTTATACGCCCTAAGCTGGAATACGCTTCTATTCTTCTCACCAACATTACTGCTGCCGCATCTAAGACCCTGGAACGGGTGCAGTACCACGCAGGGCGCCTTGTCACTGGTGCTGCAGTCCGCACACCTTACCTAGAGGTTCTGCAAAAGCTCGGGTGGGATCGTCTGACGACCAGGAGGGACTACCATCGACTAGTCACAATGTATAAGCTGGTAAATGGTCCCGTTCCTCCCCATCTCCAGTCACTTGTGCCCACTACAAGAGTTGCAAATAGTCAATCCCAGCTACGACTGCGGAATGCCCACCACCTGCACATCCCCCGGAGTAGAACAAACACCTACAAAAACAGTTTCTTCCTGTACACTGCACGCCTGTGGAACCATCTACCCAGTGAAGTCACAGGGTCCGCCACAGTAAGAATTTTCAAGGCCAAATGCAGGAACCACCTCTCATCAGATTACTAACTTTTAAACAACTTTTTAACTTTTCTGACTTTCCAACCGTTCCATCTTTCCCTTCCACTTTTGATTATAGATATTATCATGATTACTTTATTAATTTGATGATTGTTGTGTCTTTGATATTGTATAATGCATTGATATGTTTTGCTATTTTGATATTCGTAACTTGTTGTTAGGTCCTGTATATTGTATTGACTTGTCCTGTGTTGTGTTGTATGTACCAGTGGCAGCCGCCACCAGCCTTCTGGCTGCCTGGCTCCCACTTGTAATGCGTTGT